CAAGCAAACAAATGATATATTACGTAATCTGTAATTGTCTGCCGAAAGAATAATATTAAACGTATCAGTTGCAAAATCTACACATGTGAAAGTTCAGAGTATTAGCTCACTAGAAAATTAAAAAATAGAGCTTTGACAGTTGTGTCACTAGTTATGTTACACCAAATATAATAAAGCTAACGAATATCGTTTAATTTACCGTACATAATATTTGGCAGTATACAATTCGTTGGATTGAATTTTTTTATACGCCTAATAAATACAAGAACAATTTTTAGTGCTTACATTAATCACAATTATTTGCAGAACTAATATTTTGTTAAAAAATAATAGTTGTGGTGTATCAATTTGTTGGAGAAGCTACAGTTTTTTCTCAAGTTTTTTTACGTAAGATTTCATTATGATAAAAAAAAATTTGACATTTCAAAACTAATTTCATACTTTTGTAAGTCAGGAATTGCGTATCTTATGAAATATGTTTCCGGTTTTCCTTGTCTAATAATAATAACAAATACAAAAAGCTGTTATACTAAAAATAACATCATGATTTTGCATTTTAAGGGTGTAAATCACGTGCAATTTATTTACTAATGTACGATATTATAATAAGTATTAATACGGAAGTATAGTTGTGATTTTTTTTTTAAAGGCAATATGAGGATACCGAAAGGAAAAGTCCATAATTAGGGTGAAAAATTTTTTTTTTCTTATTAACTGCGTAACCACAGCAAAGTTTTTGTTATTAGTTACTATTTATGAAAATTTTTAGTTCACCTAATTAATTTTAACATCTTAAACTTGCCTAACTTTTTGCTTTTCTTAAAAGTTAAATGTTATGGGGATATCAAAGATTTCAAGAATATTTGTCTTATAGATTGTTTTATATTCATTTTGAATATGTGAAACAAGCTGAATATTGATCATATTTAAAAGTACTGAATATAGATCAGCGGTGTATATTGATTATAGGAGATACGGTAGTGTAGATAAAAAAACATAAAAAGACATGCTCCTGTATAAGGCTGTGTTCTTGAGAGTACGTATCGCTATTTTTTCCCGTGCAGGTGTTGCTATACCAAATTTCTCCATTGATCAGATAATTGCTCTGAATTTATACTGAAAAAACTTAGACAAATAGTTTATAGATGTGTCAAACAAAATCGCTTATTTAAAAAATGCCTCAATCTTACAATTTATAGTCTATGATGCTTTTTTTTTATTAAACTAATTCATTAAATTCTGAGCGTTTTCTCTCCAAGCTAATGATAAAAGTTTAATTACTTCGTTTTTAATATAATTTTTAAGTAAAATGTTTTGCAATTAAACGCATGATTCTCTTTTTACAAATCAATGCAGTCAAAATATTCTAAATGACATTCATTAATCTACGTTATTTCGCGTTATTTCTACGATCTATTATTACCGATTGCTGACGAAAGCCCTTGGAGCTATGTGCAAATAACTTCTTTATTCAATAATTCTTTAATTTACTATTACTGAAATCATTACCTGTTTATATATACTTTTTAATGACTCAGGTTGTTAAGTAAATTTAGTTCTACAGATTGTTATCAAGGGGAGTCTGAAAACGGCTAAAGTTACCAACTTTATCAATTGATTGTGTTAAATAATTGACTGTATGCTCTAGCTGTTTAACTTATATGCAGAAGTATTGAAACATTAAAATGCACTTATGTACGTCAGTTAGCTAAAATGAACAGTAGTAAGAACTTAGTTCAAAATGTTAATGAATTGAGTCTACCACGACCAGAAGTTCACACCATCATTGCTATTACTATCATTACAACTGTCTCCATTATTTTACCATTGCCATTAAAAAGTTTTATAGATGTTTCTTGCAATTTTAAGAATTGAATAGATTGACAACTTGCAAGAATTATCATTCAAAAGTAATGTAAAAAAAATAGTAGCATAGTAAGAATAACACTTTTCGTCCTACAACTGAAAAATTTTGAAGTAAAAATGATGATATTTACGATCTTATGATACTATACATTTTTTTATTCAAAAACACAACGTTATCATCAATACTACCTTGTGAAAAAATTAGAACGTAGAAAAATTTTAAATTACGAAGGGATTACATTGAAAAAATTCTAATTCAATTTTTGTTATGTGGACTTTTTTTTTTTTTTTTCTCACTAAATTTTTCTCACTCAATCATACCATTTTTAGTAATCCAGTTAACTCTATGCAATACAATTTTTTTTATTTTGTGTGTAAGATCAAATTCCTTACTCGAAACTGAGACAGAATTTACTGAAGTAAGAAGCTACATTACTTCAAATAAAAAAATATTTATTTGTATAATGCTACGACAGAATTAAACAAACTAAGTACCTATAAGCCAGCTCCATTTATAAATTATAAAGACCAATTTCATCTTAGTCATAAGATTGTTGAACATTTAATATGACATCTTATGTAACTGTCGATCTTATCGATTATCTATTCTGTAGATTTCTAAATAAGCTTTTACTCTGTTCTATAATATAATGTTCATTGTACTCATGTATTATAAGTCGTATATATATATATATAGTTATTTAAATGTGTCAAAAAATTTACAAAGATTAATATAAAGATTTATTTGTACAGAGGAATTAATTCCCGTACTAAACGACCGAGCTGGATATCGACCAAACACAAATTTGATATTATTTGAAGAAATCAAACCTAATATGGTGGAAAAAATAGAAAATCTATCTGAGCCGTTGGAAAAAGTCTTGGAAGAATTAATGGATGGAGATATAATAGTTTTCCAGAAAAACAATGATGATCATGATTTGTACGAACTTCCAACATGCAGAGATTATTTTCGGTACTAATTTTTGGTCTATTTTAAAACTTTAATATGATTGTATATATATATATATATATGATCATGAGATATCAATTTTTGAATATCTGTTTATTCTCAGATTCTTTATATTATCATTCATAAACAATGTTATGTATGTACACCTCTAGAAATTAGGCAAGTAGTTACCAAAAATCTATAATAATCGTAATTTAATAATAACCGAATTCTTATAATCGTAAATTTTTATTTCCATTTATAATTATGGAAATAAATTTTGCTTGTTGATCGGAAGCAACATTTAAAGCTTTTGGTACCACTGTTTTAGTTACGTGCATAAACAAATACAAAGACAATAAACAACTTTACGGGCAACGCTGTTCAAATTTTATTGTGTCGTGACAACGTTTCGACTACACTTTGGCAGTCCTTCTTAAGTCTAAATTTGACGTTGACAAAAATATTACGGAGCAAAGTCAATTCGTTAACTTATACGAATTGACTTTGCTCAGTAATATTTTTGTCAACGTCGAATTTAGACTTAAGAAGGACTGCCAAAGTGTAGTCGAAACGTTGTCACGACACAATAAAATTTGAACAGCTTTGCCCGTAAAGTTGTTTATTGTCTTAATACATTCCTCGCTGTTCTTGGAATCCTTTTGGTGTTTATAGATAGACAAATATTTTTCTTATCACAAAAATTTATGTTAAGATGCAATGCAAATTATATAATAAGTCTGAGTCTTGAGTAATACTGAATCTTAAAAAAGCCACTAGGGCTTAAGAATCTTTTACAGTATGCCACAGAAATTGGAATGAACTATACATGAATTAACTATTTATTTTATTAACAGCAAAGCATTCTTTGTAAAAATTGTTTTTGTGAGTATGCATCTCATAAACCTCACAACATTTCTTAGCAAATAGTATCTTAGGGGCCATGCAATAACTACATTACCGATTCCGAGTAGTTCCTCCTACCCACTTATTGACAACCGTAGACATACGTCCTACTGTTGAACCTGTATACATTACTCAAATCAAAGCTTTTTCAAATTAGTTCAAAGATTCTTATTTTGGGTACCTGAAAAGATTTGCAAACTGCCATCGAAACGCTACAAATCCTTAAAATCAAGAACTCTTTACTTGTAAAATTTACTTTTTTTCATTTTAGTTTGCTGTTGATTATAAATGAGTAATTTATACTATGTATTCCTGTGAGGCTTTGTTGTTCACCACGCTTTTCCTGCCAACCTCCTGATACATAATAATGAATTTGGCAAAAATTTTTGTCTTTTTTTTAAGTTTCTGATTGTTGTACATAATGTGCCTATAACGTTGTTTAATTTAATATCCAAACAGTAATATGGGTATGACAGTATGCAAATTTACTGCTGATTAGATGCTTAAAATATAAGATAATTTATTTATTCAGGAATAAGTGCACCGCAAAATACATTGGTTGACAAAAGATTATTGCTAACTTCTTTCAGTGTAACGACAGACTTCGAAACTCTGAGAAATCTGCATGCAACGCCTATAACAAAAAGTATTGGCCACTACAACCTACCCTATTAATATCATAAAGTTGTTGAGCCCCAAATCAAATATATATTTTATATGTCTACGTATAAGTACTTCTTATATTATAAATGTTGAGTACCTTTAGTTTTCTATGAGAAAAAAAAAGTTTGTTTAATGTAAGCTTACAGAATCAAAACTTTGATTTTTCGATTAATTATTAGTTTAAGTCTATTCTCAGCAAAAATTTTTTTTTAATTTTATGTTCAGTAATTATTTCACTGACTACGGTACTCACTATCGTGTACCATTACACAAACCATTTGATGCACTTAACTTTCTTATTGTTGAATAATTATGACTATCATTTAACCCGGCCTTCAATTTAGAACTAAAAGTTGTGGACTGCAGTCTCACGCTCTTCTACAGGCTGTAAGACTAGCATACAGTCCAACTATTTTTTTGTTTACAGGAAAAAAAAAAGTTCTAAAAAATATGCGTGCTAAAATATATTTTATATTAATTTATTTTAAAAACTCGTACAAAAATAATAAGTCACTCTTAAGCAAGTTACTAAAGTAATTAAGTTCTGCACTTAATGAGGGGCAGCGGGCTACTAACTAAAACGCCGTGCGAGAAAATGCATCTTGCGCGAAGTTTTAGTCAAAACTTTATTGGCTTTGTTTGGCGATGACTTCCGTAAACGATGATTTTTTTAATAGCCTTGAAATTTTTTATTTAAAAAAGAAAAAGTAATTATGCAAGTCACCACTTAACAGTTTTCTCTTCTTAAAACTATCGCCATCCTCGGTGAATATTTATATAAAAGCAATCTGAGTTAAGGTAAAAAGTAGATCACTGTAAATCGAATACATGAAAAATTTTTAAAAAATTTTCACTTTTTATTTACCTTCCCTTTCTTAGAATTATTCCTACCTTATTAGTAGAAATCTGTTATAAATAATTCTCAATATACGTACAAGTAATATTAAAATAAATATATAGTAATTATAGTTTTTTTTTTTTAAAGTATTACTAGAAAGAAAGAATGGCATAATATAATTCACTATAATGAGCGGCGTTGGCTCAGTGGTAAGCGTGCTTGCTACTGATACAACGCTGTTCTAGGGGTCGTGGGTTCGATTCCCGGTGAGTGCAGATTTTTTCAAAACTGTTTTCACCGGAAAAAGTTCCTATGTGACCCCGGCTGTTTCAGGGCGGGTTTTTCCGTGGAATTTTCCTTCAGAGTAATTCCAGGGTTTTTTCCTTGCTCCACAGGTCTTCGGACCTGGGTGAATGCGAAACAGTGTTAGGGCCTAATAGGTAGGGATTAGCGGGCCCGATGCCAGTCAGGGATCGCCGGCCTTACCGGCGAGGAGTGGCCCCTGAAACATGGGGCTTCTCCGGGGATGCTAATTAGCCTGGATCCGATGCTTGGAACCCAGGCTACATAGTTGCGAGTTGACCCGATGCACTTTCCTCCAGTGCAGAGAGTGTCAGCTTAACTGACAAGGTGTGTTTCACCGGAGATACTTTCACTGTGCCCATGGTATGATTTGTATGGTATCAATTAAAGAGAAGATTTGGGGTAAATGGGTGTGGCAATACACCCCCACACATAGATGGTGAGTGGGTGGCCCCGGCGACTGGGCCAATAGGCTGTCGCGGTAACCCAATATATAAAAAAAAAAAAAATAATAATTTACTAAAATAAGTAGTAATTGATTCACATAATCGTTACATTAAGTTAAGGCTGTGCAAAAAAGAAAGATAATGGGAGTTATTATGAATAATAATGGGTTAATATCCCCTCTCTTCTCCTTACACCTTGGTTTTGTCATTGGGTTTATTTTCTCCTACTGTTAATTTTCTTTCGTAAATAGATAATTTTGGCGAAAGTTGGCTTTGTTTCTAAAATTTGTGTGTATCGTTGTTTTCTGCATGGAATGACATATCTCTGATATATCATGAACTTAACTTGTTGTTGACATAAATAGTGAGTTAATTTCGTGTTCATTTTTTATTTTGCGCTTTTTTAAATTGGTTCGGCGTATTTTGTGCGATATTAAGGTTCATCATTTTGCAATGCTAGAATATCCATTTCAGCATCTATGTATTTTATCTGTTTTTAGAATAGTCTTCCTCGTCGATCTCTAACGACATAACAAGATTCTAAGGTTCTTAATCGAGAGAAGTGGTTGAAGAAGTTTCTTTCACTTTTTTTTTCTTCTGTATTCCATGGTAAAAGACACATAAGTCTTTGGATCTATATGTAATATATCTTTTTTATCTCTTTTTGGCGATGTGGATAACGAAAATCTTTTGATTAACAAATACTAGATTTCATTTTAAAAGTAAAAAGTGTCTAAATTTCTCTTTCTTTATGCAGTATTTTATCAGGCTTTTTAAAAATTAGCCACTAGCTTGAATTGTGGTTAAATTCTAATATGCGCAATTATGTAAATCTGAAAATACACAAAATTTCTGTAATATTTTCTTTAATCTCTAATCGTTTAATAACTTTGCGTAAAGGATGATCTATGTTGACTTTAGCCTTCATTGTTACTTCGTTGACGGAGTTCGTCATAAAGCTTGGAAGGGAAATAGTATCAAATAACTATTGATTTATTAGTCTATTCCCCTTTTTTAATTTATAGTTTTTGTTTTATAGTTACTCGGGATTCTGTGATCAGTGGATTGACGGTGCGTTTTATAAATTTTTCTAAGACACTACGTTTCATAGTCTTCTTGAAACAATTTCTTGCTTTGCTGATAATTTCTACTCTTAAAGTTATAATGATAATAGCTTTAATAACATCACGTAGTCAAATTATAAGAGAAGTTTGCTTCTCCTCCAACTTTTGGGCTCGTATTTTCTCAATTTAATTTATTATATTTTGTACATTTTATTCCTTATATCCGTGCTTGTTCATTTAAGTTTAGTTCTTGAATCGATTTTATAGCTTCATAAAAGGCATTAGTGTCCCTTAAAGGTTTATGTTATACAGTTAAGTTTAAGTTCACTTCTACTTGATAGGTATATTGTATCTGAGTAATGATCTTATGTTCACTTGTTAAGGTTCGTTTATGTGTTTTTCCCGTACACCCATCATTCATTCGTAAAAGAGCCATACTTTTTACTCTTTCTTGTCGATCCGTTTTATTAGAACAGATAATACTCAATTGTTCTTGATTAGGTATCAAGAATAACCATGAGTTATCAGCTGATAAGTGAACCGAGGGACTCTCCGTTTTCAGTGTCAATATAATTTCACAGTGTTTGAAGACTTCTGGTCTAGGTCGTAATAGCATAACAATTTTACATTCATTCATAGAATGGCGTTCTCTTAACGGTTTTACAATTGAGCATATGTATTCGTATACTGTTTTATCACATTAAGTGTAACTTCGTTTAATCGTAAATACAAATTATATTCTGCTGCTATGCTGCTATGTAAAAGTACGATGGTCTTACGTAGGCAGATTTATTTTGTCTAGGT